GGCTGGTCGGACGACGAGGAGAAGCAGTTCAGCCACCACGACATCTTCTCCCGCCTCAACAGGATCAAGGAGGAAATACTGCCCAACTACATGCCACCGCCCGAGATCGCAACAAGTGAGTTTGCTCAATCCGAAATAACAATGTATATATGATATGTTAGTCAATTTGTGCTTCAAATGATCAATGCTTATGTTGACAGGCACTAGTTTATTCCAGCCACTCATTTCATATATTTAATTTTTGTTACATTGTGATTTTCCGTGGAAATAATCAGCACTTTTCTAGAATCACCTTATCTCTTGCAGTAAGGCAAAACATTTGTATATGCTTTATATATGCATCAGAAATAATTAAACAATAAATAAACTAAATAACTTGCTTGAAGCAATATTTTTTTTTAGCTAAACTTTTTAGTTACATTTATAAAGGCACAAAATGTAATCAGCAAAGCAAAACATTTGTGTATATTTTCTATATGCATTAGCAATAATTAAACACTATTAATAAATTAAATTAGTTCAATAATGCAATTATTGCTTATTATTTATTATTATTAAAGCAAAAAAATATAAGCAGCTCTAACGGATAAGAAAATTCGATTGAAATTTTAGGTTAACTTAGTTTACCTATTTTTAGATAACTTAATATAATTAAAAATCGATTTGATACTATAAACATATCCAATGTAAGGAACGGTTAAATAGCCCTATGTGTGTTTTTTTGATTTGTTACTTTTACAATACACTTAAAAGCAATTTACAAACCTTGTTTTCAAAACTATAACAATTTCTTTGCCCTTTTGCAGATGGCACTGGCGATGAGGAAGTCGAGATCAGCGGCGACCTGCCCTCCCATAATCCCTTCCCCGGATCGCACATGCTGATGGTAATACCGCTGACCAGCGAGTGCCGGGTGATCTACAACATGGCCAACATGATTGGCCAGGGACACTATGGCACCGTCTACAAAGGCCACCTGGAGTTCAACGACAAGGATCAGGCGCGGGAGCAGGTGGCCATCAAGATGCTGAACACCATGCAGGTGTCGACCGACTTCCATCGCGAGATCGGCATTATGCGCACGTTGGATCACCCCAATGTGGTCAAGTTTAAGTATTGGGCGGAGAGGTCGCACTGCATCATCATGGAGTACCTGTCCGGTTCCTTCGAAACGTACCTGCGCTTCGAGGCGCCCAATCTCAAGGATCCGCGTCTCGTCGGTTTCGCCCTGGACATTGCACAAGTAAGTTTGGTCTTCTTCAGAACTTTAATCAATTTAATATTTATATTTATATATTTATGCATACTAAACTTTTATAAGAGTTAATTCATCTTTATTTTTGCATTTGTAAACCTGTCTGATAATTGTAATGTTATATTTTCAAACCGTTTATCATTATTTTTATGACTTTCTATTGAAATTGTAAAAGAAATTCAATTTCCCAAACCTAGTTGATAATACTTGTTTGTTAAGCATATTATTTTAGTGATATTTAATTAATTATTTATCTTGCCGCAGGGTATGAAATATTTATCCGGCATGGGTTTGATTCATCGGGACTTGGCCGCCCGAAACATTCTCGTGGATCACAATGGCGATCGCGATTGCGTCAAAATCTCAGACTTCGGCCTGGCGCAATTCGCCAATTCCGATGGATATTACTACGCCACGAGCAGACGAGATATTCCCATTAAGTGGTAAGGAAAATCTAACCAGGTTATATGGTGTGTCTTATCAAATGTGTCCTTGGAGGTTTTTCTTTATCTTGCCTTATCTCCTACAAACATAATCTTTTAAACGTGTAATAATCTTTGTAAAAAAGACTTTTAAAATATTCTTTTTTAAATGGTAAATTCAGAAAGAATTAGTTATTATTTTTTACTTGACACTGCTTTGGTAAACCTTTTAAATAAATTCATTCCTTTCGATTGACAGGTATTCCCCGGAGGCCATCTCCACCTGCAGATTCTCATCGTACTCGGACGTTTGGAGCTATGGCGTGACGCTCTTCGAAATGTTCTCCCGAGGCGAAGTGCCCAATCTGGTGCCGATGCAGACATCGCAGGATGACTTCCTCAATCGCCTCGAAAGCGGCGAACGGTGAGTTGTGCCCAGTTGTGCCCTCAGAGATAACCACTGACCAAATTCTCATTAAATTTGTCAAGATCTATGTATATATGTATGTGTTTCAAAATTAATGGGAACTCGAGATAACCTTTGTAACACGCGTCGCTGCAAAGTGTCAGTTCATTTATAGCTTTGACCAAATGCAGAGAGATTTATTACGTTTAACAGCTGTGTGAATTCTATTGACCTTAAATATCTCTTATGGATTTTGTGATTATTTTTAAATAAAAATATAAATTTATTTGCGTGATGGGCGGGTACTTTATAAATTGCTAGTTTTTATTAGTTGATAATATTGATGTTTAGTAACCTTATTAACGTCTTATATCCTTCATAGCATTAGCCAAATTCATAGAGACAAGCTACTTAAATTATGAACATTTAACATCTATGTGAATTTTATGGATTTTGGGATTATTTTTTTGTATATAGAAATTTTAAACTTTTTGTACCCTGCTTTACTTTGACCAAATTTATAGGGACAAGCTAAGTGAGTTTTATGGATTATAAGATTTTTTTCTACTATTGTCTTTTATATAAATATGCATTCTAAAATTGTGCAATGTATTTGCAGATTAAATCGGCCGGCCAGTTGTCCGGACTTTATGTACGACCTGATGCTGTTGTGCTGGCATGCCACGCCCCGTTCGCGGCCCAGTTTCGCCACCATCGTGGACATCATCACACGGGAAATGGCCACCAAGGTGTCGCATCCGGCGGATGGCCACCAGTCGCCGCCAAATCCGAATCTGCCGACGGTGGGCGAGTGAGAGCAGACAACGAGTGTTCCAAACACGAAAACAGAATGATATACATATATTTAGGCATAAGTTTTTTTTAAGCTGTTAGCATTTAAACTGTACGTTTTTAAAACAACACAATCAAACCGCAAATCACTAAACGTAACTCTCGGCTTGGTTTGCTTTTAAAAGAATCAACCCATCAATACCCCATCCATCCATCCATCTATCCATCCATCCATCTATCCATCCATCCATCTATCCATCTATCCATCCATCCATCCATCTATCCATCCATCCATCCATCCATCCATTTACATCAAAACACAAAACACTCACGCCTTTGTAAGATTTTTCGGATTCTTGCGCGACTTCAGTTTTAATATTGTGCTAACCATTGGCGCTCTTTTCTCGTCCCCTCGCCCCACTCCCTTTCTTGACTAAGCGGATGTCCCCGACTTTATATATACCATATATATATCTATATATATATATATATATATGTATAAACAATTCTCAACCTTTGTGTTATACATTTTAGCCCACTTTGTTAAATATTGTTAAGCTAAAGCTTAAATTTTTTGTAATGCCCACGCAAAAACACTAAACACTAAACTAAATATAATGTGTAAATATTAATTGAACTAGTTTAGGGTTTCGACACGAACGGCAACACACGGCAATTTACACAAAAAAAAAAAAGATCGAAGGGCGGCGGACGGATCGAAAGGATCTCGGTTCCGCGGATCGACTAATATTATTCTACAAAATCATGTGCACATATAGTCCTAAGGTATGTCAATTAATGTCGATCAAATGCCATTTTAACCTACAATGCTTCGAAACAGAAACGAATTATATATTTACATGCTATACAAGCCACTATACAAGCCGGTATATGCACAACAACACAACCGCAGGCACAATAACTTATTGATGTTAACGAGAATGGATATTTCCGAAATAAATCAATTTTCTTACGTGTTTAATAATGAATTTTATTATTGCATTATATATATTGGGATCAGAACGGGAGTTTCTGGTTGTGTTTAAAGGGATCTCAACGTTGCAGCCTCTAATTTAATTTTATTTAATATAAATACAACACATCAGAACATTTATTCGAGAATATTATGTTATATTGACCTTATACATATATTTTATTTGTTTTAGCATCTAAGCCATATATTTGAGATATATCAAAAAATTATAAAATTTCTGCTTTCCAAATGCAAATAATCGAAATCAGTCAACAAAAACGTTTTTAGTTTTCTATAAAATGTATATTTGATCATTAGAGAACAGGATATTTTTCTCGAACCATACAAACGACAGAGATGGCACTACTTTTATAGAAAAATTCTATATATTCAATCCTATGAAATTTTTAAATCGAGATTGTTAGGTTTAGACATCCAACTATTTTATTTGGGAATAGATAACAGCAAATAGATCTTAAAGAACTACTTGGAATACCTACATATGTGTTGATTTCAATTATTTGTATTTACTTTCAGACACGAGTATAACAGCTTTTTGTGAAATTCAGTGTTAGTTCATTATATATACAGGTTTTACTTATCTTGTTTTAGTTATTTTAGTCTTATAAATATGTACTTATGAGCCCTTTTACAACTTTCTGTTTTTCAGTGCCTGCTGTTAAATGCAAATTTAGGGGTTAAATGTAAAATGGCAGTTCCATATGTTAAATACTATCTAAATCCTAATTTATAAATGGCAAAAAAACCTTTTACCCTATATATACTAATCTTCAAACGACGGTTTTTGGCAATATTATTAAAAATACTGCCATTGTGGCATAAATATAAACTCAATTTTAAAGTGGAACAAAAGTTGCTTATGTCTTACTTACAAACGAATCTTATATGGTATATGGTGCCCATTTGCAACTCACTGATTGAGCTACTCTTAAGTTAGTTAATTCTAAAGAATAGGTTGTCTCCTTAACAAGATACTGTATACCAGTCCTTGCTATCAAATGTAAAACTCAACTATTAAATGGTAAATAAGAATTCCCTACAAACTACTCTTGTTATATAAGTAGTTTCGAAATAATCTTGTTGTACCCTAACTAGTTGGCTGATAACACCCTTCTTATCAAATATCCTTAATATTAATGGCATATTATTTATTGGTTATAATAGAGTTTTTGGTAAATATTTAATGTGAGCGTGGCTTAGCAAGTTTTTGCTTTATGGTATGGTTTTTTAATTACAGCACTTGAGTCGCACGACATAAAAATCGATTAGAACATTAAAAGAATTTTCGTCATATTTTTTTTGTATTAAATTCCTTACTGGTTAAATGTGAATAAAGTTAAAGTCAGTTTAATATTTATATTTTGAAAATCAAATTCAAATGTTGGTCAAAAATGATTTGTAGTCATCAAATTGATCATCATATCAACTGATTTCTGTCTTCAGAGCTCAAGTACAAATTGGTTCTCTTAAATTTAAATAAACTCAGTGTGTTCCACTGGCAAAGTAATAACGTTACTTGAAAAAACCTTCGAGACTTAATGAGGCGGTAACTGTAGGATTCCTAGGTTTTTTCTGCAGCAAAACCTTTTTCTCGAGCAAATGCCAAAATCCTCGTTTCTGTTTCCATATGCCATGCTCTCCGCGTTTTTCCTTTTAAGATGATTTTTAAATCGCCTAGATTGTTTCATTTGGATGCAACGAGTGATCCTTAGATTGGCCAACATCCGACTTTCTTGGCTCTCCGGTTAAAAAGTATAGTGTAGTAATTTGTAATTGATAAATAAAAACTTCCTCGCTAGCAGAAGCCATAAGACTTAAGGAACTTGGTTCTGGTCTACATTCGGATTTGGCGATGCCTATAGACATGCAACGATACAAAGTGATCCCAAGTTTTGGCTGTATTCCGATTTCTGGGCCAGATTAGTATCAGAATTTTGGCGGGTGCTAGGAGCTCTCCGCGTTCTTCTTCCTCAGCGTGTCCATGACCCCGGCAAAGTTGGCCGTTTTCTTTTTGGCCGACTTGGGCGTGGATGTCTGACTACGGACGCGCATTTGGGTGGGGGCCACCTCGTCGCTGAAATCAAAGTCATTGGCCTTTTGGGGTCTGAAATGGGAGGTGGGGGGGAAGGCATTATATGGGTTATATATATCCAATTATATAGCCAGAAATCTTACTCCTGTTCAATGACATCGGCTGCCTGCTCCAGTTCCTTGCTATTTGCGCCGGATCCGACCTCCGGCGATGGAGCCCTGCGTCCCGGGAATTGCCACTGCAGTTCCGGAATATTTCCCGCCTCCAGCATCAGATAATAGCCCTCCAGCTCCTCGGCATTGGCCGAAAACTTGTCCGCCGTATTCGCCGTCGGTTCCACATCGGTGGCCATTTCGTATTTGATCACTTTATTCAAAAATACGCACTCCTACATCCGAATTTTCTAGTAAAATCAATGAAAATCGATTTTATGTGGCCCGAAAAGTTGTTGTTTGTTTTTTGGCTTGCTCTTTTCGATAACTTCACAATCGATTGGCACTGGCAGTGCTGCAAAACGACGAAACAGGGCGGTTTATTTAAATTGCAGCCGCTGCCTACATTGGTAAATCTATTTATAGGTTTCTTTATGCACTTAAGTGCATATCCATGCTCGGTTCCGCGTACAGAGATCTTTCGAGGCGGTATCTAGATGCCATATTGTTTGTTTTAGGGGGAAAACTATTGACTCGCTTAAAATGTACACTTTTGAATTCAAAAATGCATTTTTTTACTATATTCCTTGATTTGTTTATGCTTTTTAAGTATATGTTTTGACTAAAACTATTTTAATGCTCTTATCTGCTGACTTTTACTTTTGTGAAGGTCCATATACTTGATTTTTTTTTTATGCTAAACAACAATAAAACTCAGAGATATTTCTTATAAACTAATTGTTTGTTTTATATTTTGGCTTAATGCATTCATTCAAACGTAGTTTTATTAAAAAAAACTTTTTATCACAAGATAAAAAATAGTTTGAAATAAAATATAAAGTTTTAACTCTTATTAATTTCAGTATAATTAAAACAAAATTGATAAACTGTGCCTTTTAGGATTCATTATATTGAAATAAATTTAATTACAAAAAAATCACACCAAATTAATGATGACCACAGTATTCAGCAAAAGCAGATAAGACCCGACCTTTTATACGAAAAGCCATCGATTATTCATTTTTCATTTTATTTGTATTTATTTACTTTGTGATTACTAAATTCTTAGAACTTTATTCAAAATCATCCTCGTCCGTCGTGCTGCCGTTTCTGCTGCTCCATCCGCTCCTGCTCACATATCATATATCTCAGTTGATCTGATCTGATCGTCTCCACAACCGATTAATGCCGGACACGGATATCCCTGTGGTGTTCCTTGTTCCTCCCGATCCTGCTGATCCTTCTCTTTGTGGCTGGCTGTTTAGCGTTCGTTTTCTATGACTTACACGTACCATACATATACATAAGTATTATTATTATTATTATAATTATTATTATTATTATAATTATTATATTGTTGTTTGCTGTTTGCTTGCTTTGTATACTCGTATATAAAAAAGAATAATCGTACATATTTAATTTAATTAATTAAAAACACAATTTGATTGCAAAAAGAAAGGTTTCTACAATACGTAATTAAATACGGATACGTCCTGATCGTTGGTATTGTTGCCACCGCCGCCGCCACCACCTCCGCCGCGATTGGAGGAGCCGGAGGACTTGTTGGAGCCGTGGGCGGCGATGGTCAGCTGGTTGGCCTGATGGATCACCGAGGTGATGTCGCTCTGCGACGCCGAGATGTCCTTGCTGGTTAGCACATCGCTGCTACTCGATCCCGAGGAGATGTGTCGCTCGGCGATGCCGTACTGGATCGGCTGATAGCCGTGACTTGGATTGTACGTGGCCGAGTATGGCATGTAGATGGGCGGGTTCGGGAGCGGCCCGATGTCGCTGGTGATGCTCTCGGTGTCCGCATGGCTCAGCGCATGGCCGCCGTGCCCGTGCGGCAGCTGGTGCGGATGCAGATGGCCCTGGCCCCGGCCCAGCAGATTGGGATTGCGCTCCTCGTTCACCACGTAGTAGCACTGCTCCGAGAAGGTCAGCTTGTTGACCGTGTGCTTGATGTAATTGCTGCGCAGCATGGCCGAGACGATCCGTCGCGCCTCCCGCCTGTCCTGCACATCCTCCACATTCTCCAGCACCCAGTTGACCGCATCGGCCCCGATGAACGCGTTCGGTATGGTGATCTTTAGCCACATGCGATCCCTGATCTCCAGACCGCTGTCCGGCTTCGTCATCGCCTTGACGATCTCCTCGAGGTTGTTCTGGTCCAGTCGCTCCTTGATCGGCTCCGCAATGTCGGCGATAATACTGTCGTGCGATGTGAGGGCCTGGGTGTGCGCCACCCAGGCACCGGGATCGATGGGCCGCACCGGCTCCGTGCGCGGAATGGTGAAGTAGCCCTTCGGATTGGGGTCCCAGCACTTGGCCACCACCAGCTTGATGGGTCCCGGCTTCTGGACCACCTCTCTCAGCACCCGCACCGCCTCGTCGTTGGTCATGTTCTCGAAGTTCACGTCGTTCACCTGCAGGATCATGTCGCCCGGCTCGATGCGTCCGTCGAGGGCCACGGCACCGCCCTTCATGATGCTGCCCACATAGATGCCGCCATCGCCGCCGCGATTCGACTGGCCAACAATGGAGATGCCCAGGAAGTTGACGGCCTCCATGTTGATGGAGACGGTGATGATGTTCAGGGACATGGTCGAGTCCGTTATGGAGCTGTACGAGGAGGTGCGCGACATGCTGGGCGCCCGTTTTTTGCGCCTCTGCGGCTTCTTGCGCACCTGCAGCCGCTGGACGCTGCTGTAGTCGGTCATGTCGCGATCGAGGGTCAACTCGGATTCGGTGCCAAAGAGACTGGTCGAGTCCAGATCGCTGGAGAGCACCGAGGCCGATTGATATGTGAGCGGTGGCGGTTGCAGCAGCGGATTGCCCATCATTTTCTGATGATGCAGTACCTGCTGCTGCTGTTGCTGCTGCTGCTGTTGTTGTTGCTTCTGCGCCAGCTGGACAGGCTGCACCTGCTGCTGTTGTTGTTGTTGCTGCTGCTGCTGTTGTTGCTGCTGCTGCTGCTGGATCTTCCTGTTGGTCAGCACACCCATGCCCAGTTCACACTCGCTGGTGGGCAGCTCGGAGCAATTGTCCGACTGATTGGTGCCATCGGCCGATACCAACCAGGACACAACGCGCCCATTGAAGCAGGGCAGGATGGTCGAGTCATCGGCTATCTCCTCCTTGACCACACCGAAATCCGCATCCATGGACTTGAAGAAGTACTTGTAGTTGTTGTTCTGCTTGTTCAGCACCAGCTTGAAATCGCGCAGCGTCACCTGGGCAGATGGAATGGGGATCTTCACCAGATACGGCGTCGTCTCATCGTCGATGTGGTATATCACCTTCGTCTCCTGCCCGCCGCCCCTGTCCGCGTCCATTTTGCCCCTTTTCACTGGCTACACACGGCCACACAACACGATTGGGGGGGGGGCACAAAAAAAAAACAGTAAAAACACAGGAAAATCGGGAAATCAGGAAAGGAAAACCCTTTGCAACAAAAATCACTCGCTTTTCTCCCCCTCCTGTCGTCTCTGTCTCTCTTGCCCTCTCGCTCTCGCACGCGTTTCTTTTCCTTTTTCTTTCTCTTTTTTTTGGGCTGGGTGTTCCGTTCAATGCGAATAGCGATTGTGAATGCTATCAAATCGGTTGTAGAACTGCTCCATTGGCGTGATTTCTATCGCGTTAATATCGGGCGGGCAGTACGTTGCGCAAAATTCGGGGGCGAAACATGCATATTGCTAGTTTACCAATAATTTTGTTCGAATTTTATTTTGAGACTAAAAAAAACTGACCGACGCAGTGTGGTATCCGCTTTTTACGCACAGAATGCTAAAACGCCTACCGGGAGTAGGAGATATTTTCCAAATGCCATGCACTTGGTCACACTAGCAATAGCTGGACGGAAAATCGTTTTGATGCATTTTCCTCATGTGGAAATTTAAAAATCCATTCCCAATTAACTTGACCTTTTTTACAAAATAATAAACCAAGGCAATGCTTTATTTTCCCTTAGGCGGGCCACTTGTCACTGAAAAAAACAAGGCTGCCAGATTGTTGCAAGAAAGCTTAACTTTTGAATTTTCTGGAAAATAGCTTCTAGGCTCTACTAAGCTCCAATACATTCTCTTTTTTGAAACATCCACTATTTGAGCATTGGATTTTGATTTGCACTTTTCATCGAGTAAAGACTAAAATGAGTAACGGTCACTTCTCTAGCGTCCGGTAATAAAATACCAAAAATGGAACAATAAGTCGTTGTTATCGATAGTTAACGTTATATTTAAACCTGTTTTTTCAAAATATTTTACAATTCTAAAAGTACATTATGAATAAATTTATTTACATTTGCTGTGTATTGGTTTACTCTGAAGCTAGTGCAAATTCTCTTTAATAAAATATGGAAAATGTTTATATATTTGAACCCAGTCCGGATGAGAAAATAAAAATAAATTATTTACTTACAAATTTGTTGAGACTTGAACTGGCTTTCCTATTTTTCATATCAAGATTCGTAGGATTAAAAGTTCACAACAATTTCAATTAAATAGTTAACGATTTTGTACATTGTACTCTAGAAAAAATCTATTAGATCTTAATTACTTGGACAACAAAAATAATGCACAAAAAATAGCTTATACGAATTTGATTTAAAGTTTTTGTTATACAAGGATGAGCGTACATTCGTTTAATCTTTTCAAAGTATCAGATAAAAAACTCCAGCGAATGGTGGTGCATTTTATTTATAGCCCTTTGCTTCCCAGATAACCTCTGCATGCCAATTATCAGCCGCCCCCGTTGAGAATCAAAAGCATTTTTTATTTAAATCAGTTTTCTCTTTTATTTGTATGTTTTAAAGGGCTTTTCAGTTAAATATACACTCGACTTAAACGCTACACCTCCATTTTGGCGTAAACAGACATGCGTACGCCTTGTTTTACATAGTTGTAAATGAACTACGATTTAAATAATTGCCGTTTAAAAAAGTGTTCGATTTTTAATTATTCTTAAGGGGGGAGGGGGAGTCGTATGACATTACAAATAAAACCAGGATTGATTCCTCCGCCAAATTTCCGATCTTTTCGAATTTCTCAACATATCATGCTTAAATGTTTAGTATATAGTACATAGATACATCCGCCGTTTGTATTTATGTATGTCCGTCTGCTGTTTACGATATAATATATATATTATAGTTACACTAGACTAACTATTACAACTAAGTTAATCGTTTTACAAAAAAAAAACTTGTTATAGTATTATCGGTTTGCTAATGCACAAAACAAATTATCGAGTGTCCGTTTTCTGTGTGTGTGTGTGTGTGTGTGTGGGGGGGGGGTTGGGGGTGTTGGAGGGGTGTGTGTGTGTGTGAATTATTTTTTACAATGTGATACGTTTCCTAGTGGTGCCAGTGGTCCTCTGATCCTCACTTGGTGTTCACCATCTCCACCAGAGTGCTGCTGAGCGACAGACGGTCGACGATGTCCAGCAGGATCTCCACATCCTTGACGGTGGTCACCGTTTCGGGGGCGCCCATTAGATTCACATGCTTGCCATCGATGTTCGCATAGAAGCACTTGTTCTTGAAGATTATGGCCCGGTCGTAGGGCACCCGGCACTTGCTCCTGTCCACCACGGAACGGCGGAAGAGCACGCACGACGGCTGGTACTTGTGGCGGTCCTCCTCGGGTATGTTGTAAGCCTTGAGATCGCCCGTAAAGATGGTCATCGTCTGGCGGGTCATCAGCGAGGGCGACACCTTGTACAGGGTCACCTTGCTGCTCCATTTGCCGGAGGGCATCTTAATCCTGGCCGCCACATTGGCCAGCTTGACCAGCGCCAGCTCCAGGCAGGTGCGCTGCTGGCGTGTTGCCTTGCCCGGCGAGTCCTTGGGCGTGCTGATCACATGCCACGTCTCGTAGCAGGTGATCTTCTTCACCACGCGCCCATCCTCCTCGCAGAAAGTGGTGGTCTCGGGCGGGAAGTACTTGAAAGTGCCTGAATCCTCCGCACCGCCGCCACTGGCCGACGGTGGCTCCTTCTGGGCGGCCTCCTCCTTCACACGCTGTTCCTGCTGCAGCTGTTGGTTCTCCTTGCTCCTGCGTTGTGGACTCAAGCTGGGCTTCTTGAACACCGGCTGCTCGTCTACCTCGTCCAGCAGCTTGCTCAGCTTCCTGTCGGCACGGGCATTCACCGTCGAAGCTGTCGTGGACAGCACATTGCGGCGGTTACTGTTCCACTTGTTGACGCCGGATGTTGGTGGTCCTCCACCTCCTCCTCCTCCTCCTCCTCCTCCACCTCCGCCTCCGCCACCTGCTGTTGCGGATGCTGCTGGGGCTGCTGCCTGTTTGGGATTCTTACGGGTCACAATCGATGCCGGTATCTCATCGTCATCGAAGTCCAGATCTGGATCTGGATCGTCCTCCTCGGTGTCCGCGTATGTGGGGCACAGCTCCTTGCCCATGCTCATCAGCGGCTTCATCGACTGCGTCTTCTTGCCCATCTCCGTGTTGAGAATCCTTGGCCTGGGCTTGGGCAGCTGGATTTGGTTTTGACTCTGGCTCTGGATATGCAAGGGGCCCAATTTGGTGTTTACACTGCTGTTGCTGGCCAGGATCTTGATGCGTTTGGCCGGGTTGCCGACTGCATTGTTGGTTGCAGCAGCGGGCGTGGATTTCTCCGAGTTGACAGTGATGGATTTCTTCTCGTTGACCCCCAAATTGCTGGGCAGGATGTTTCTGGTGCGCGGCCTGCCCACAGCTTGCTTTTTGCTGGCATTGCTAGCTGCTGCAGCGGCCACTGCACTGTGGGATCTGGTAATGAGCACATCGTCCTGGTTGATAATGTCATCGATGTTGACAATGGTGAATGTGGGCACATCGTCGCCCTCAGACTCGTTCTTCTCCACGCTATTGGAGCCTCCTCCGACCGCCGAGCGTGTGGTGGGCGTAGAACTGACCGCATGCGAGTTGGAGTTGCTCGAGGAGTTCATCTTGTGGGTGCTGCCTCGTCGCTGTGGCAGCATCCTGGCCGGCACACTGCCCGCCTGGCCCAACTTGGGTCGCGTGCTCGCACTGGGCGTGATCGTCTTGGTGGTGGTGGTGGCGCCATTCACCACTGGCACGGTGCGCTGCTGAGGGCCGCCACCGCTCGAAGAGATGACCATGCGCTTGCGGACCACAGGACTCTCACTCTCGCTGGTCTCCAGCCTGCGTTTGGCGGATGCTGGGCCGGGACCGGAGCCCGATCCCGATCCCGATCCCTCCGTCATACTGGCATTGCTCCTTGCCATATTGACGGCCATGGTGCGGCGCAACTGCTGCAGGCTGCTGGGTGCAGTGCGTCCGCCGGTCGAATTGATGACTACCTTGGCGCTTACCCCGCTGGAAGTCAGGCTGGACGCGTTGGACGTGCTGGCATTGGCATTACTGGCCTTTGGTGGACGTCCACGTCCACGCTTGACCGGCGGCAGCTTGCGACGCATTTCCTGTTCGTACTCGGCCTCGCTGATATCGTCATCCTCGTCGTCGTCGTCGTCGTCCTCGTCGGACTTGTGCAGCTGGGGATTGAAGGCGGCATCCGCCAGCTCGTCATCGTCGTCCTCGTCCAAGTCCAGCAGATCGCTGATGTCGTCGTCATTCGTGAACAGCTGCTTGGCCTGCCGGCCATGGCGTCCTGCGACGGAATGACTGCCACCACCACCGTCGCCCATGGAGGCCATGTACTTGGGCGTAACCATGTCCTCGCTGGCGTACTTGGGATTCGGCTTGATGGAGCGCCTGGAGCGACTGGCCGCAATGGTGGGCGGCGGACTCTCCGGCACATGTCTGGCTGCTGCCGAAGCCGGTTTGTAGATCTGCTGCTTGGGCGATTCCGCTTGGGTGGAGCGCCGTGCCTTGAGCAGGCCCAGCTTGTGGGGATTGGCGCCGCCGGCGTGCGGATGCCCGCCGGAGCTGCCTAGCAGGACGGTGGTGCGTCGCTTGGCCATATTGACCGACTCCTTGGAGACCGATTCCCTGATAATCTTTGAACGTGGCGGTGGCGAAGGCGAGGCCGCTGGCTTCACGGCTTGCCGGGTGCGCGGTGAGGGCTTGTCCTGGACCACGCCAACCAATCCTCCGGAGCGGCGGCTTGTGCGGGTCTCTCGCAGCTCCTGCTGCGACTCCCGCTGATTATCCCTCTTCCTCAGTTTGCCGGCTGGCGTTGCTCCTCGCGGCGAAGGCGACTCCTCCTCCTCCTCGCGCAGATTCCTCACGTAGACAATGCAAGGACGTGTCTTGACGCTTTCAGCTGCCTGTTTTTTTCCAGCTCGCATCTTTCATGGGTGGCTAGAATTGGAATTGAAGACAAAACAAATAGCCTCATTATTGTGACCATATAGGAAAATGTACAGTGAGCCATGGTCCATGGGAAACGCAAGGTTTTAATTTAATTTACTGTGCCCAAATATAAAGACAATCTGCTTGAGTGACATTTTCTCTAAACGCACAGGGAAAATAAAAATTTTATGAAGCACTACCATTTACCAGGGTTTAATTGTATATGGCATATGTAACCTTTTTCTTATAGGCGTTTTTATTGAGGTCAAACTTGTTTAATTACAAATATAATAATTGTGTTTATTTTTGTATTGATTTTCTAACTGAAATTTTCTCGCAGTGCAAAACACACAAATACTAAGAAATGGCGCCCTTTTCGGATTCGGCCGTTCTTGACCAAGAACAATGCGGCAAGGAAATATTTTTTAGACCTTATGAGCATTTATTGCAAAGCAAGCTGCGCTATTTTCACTGAATAGAAAAAAACCCCGGCTTGTCAGCCACAACACATTGCACATAGGCAAGGCGCACTGTTTTTAATAGAAATATGTATGTAATGAGCCGCTGCTCTGGCAACTCTGGCGCCTATTTTCGTCACTTTTTCGCGCGCCAGTCGCAGCACTTACACACACACGCTCATATATAGAGAGAAAAGAAAGAAATTTGCACTTTATTGTAGCTAAAATTCGCTAGCTTACCTTCGCAAATCGCTTTACATTTTCTCGGGCGTTTGTTATTGCCTTTAATCGCACTTTTCGCTGGCACTTTCACAACGCGGCGCTCTCTTTTCCGTTCTGCTCCGTCTCTCTCGCTGCAAAGCTGGCTCTCCGCGTTGATGGCCACACTTAATTGGCAAACGCGTTTGGTTTCGCAAAATAGGAAACCGCTTGCCCGTCTCTTGGATTCTTTTTCCTTTCGGGGAAAAAAAATGAAAACTCAACTGGCGAAGATGCACAACAACAACCGAACTGCAGAAGGAGAGCAGCAAAAGTGGTGGCAATATAGTGGCCAAACCGATGAGAGGGCAACCAGGTGGCAACCCGAGATGGCGATGTTTTTCTACCCAACTGTACCACACACACACATGCACGACGGCTCTGTGTGTTGTTGGTTTTCTTTTTTAAAGGCGCTTTCGTGGTTTTTGCACTTTGAATTCCACTTAATTGCACTCACTAATCGATTGGTTCAAATCTGCTAGTGGCTGCTATTTGCAAACACTGAATAGTAGTTACTGTTTTACACGATTATCACGATTCCGATTCCCGCGCTCGAAATTACTCGCTCTTGGCTGAAACTGGAACTGAAAAGAGAGCGGCTTGGTGTTGAGAAGTGTCGGCTGGCTAGTGTTGGAAAACGCCCAACTTCAGTTGGTCACACTGGCATTTAACCCCCCTTGCGAACCCACCACATCATGAACATTTGAATTTGTTTTTATTTAGCATTAACAATTTGGTTACAATTTGATTGTTCTACTTCAAAGCCGAGGGCTGCGGGCAGCGGTACTTGGCCATCTCCACCTCCGCCTCGGCGTAGCTGAAGCGATTAAAGCAGTAATATTCGGGCACCTTGTATTCCGCCGTGGCCGATGCCCCGGGTCCGACTGGTCCAGTGATGGGCTTTACGCAATTACTGGTCAATCCTGTTACGGCTGGCGAGGATGTGGCCTGCTGGGCGGATCCTGCAGAACCCGATCCCGATGCACTGGGTCTGCCTCCGCCGGAAACGGGTCCGCCCTTGATCTGGCTGTAGCAGCGGCTCAGAGCCGGGCGCAGTGCACGCGTTGGCGAGAACATTGTGGGTTTAAATACTACTCGGGAATCGTTTTATTTGCAAAAATAATTCACGTAATCACGTATCAACAAAGTGCCTGTGTTGGCCAACGTCAAAACTCTGCTAATCCGCGAATCATGTGGCAAGGCTTTGTCGGGTAGGGAAAGCTGCCAGCCTGGCGGAAATTTAAATACTTCATTAAATGGTCTTTGTTTTTTATTGTATTTTATATTAATTAATTTGCGGGTTGGAAAGAAGTTCACCAAGAGGTAGATTAAAAATTAGTTCCCTTGGGTATTACTTAGAACTAATCAATTTATGCCAAATATCTCTTAGCCTTCAGAACATCTGGTAAGGCCAATATATACCAACTTATTTAGCTATATATTTAATAATATAAAATAAAACTAGGGCTTTGGATGTAATAAGCCCAGTTATATGAACTACTCTTTTGTTTTCAATCTGTTAAAAAAAGAAAACCTTGGTCTGGGCAAACCTTTGAAATCAATACAGTTGTTTGAAACATTTAACTAAATTAGGTTTATTATAAGTTCTACAACTATTTTCTCGTCTTGAACTTGGGCTGCGCCTTTCCATAATGCTGATCGATGTGGGAAACGGGCGCCCGCTTCTTGTCATTGCGTTCCTTTTGCGATTTACTGCGACACTTGACGCTGGCGGCGCCCGCTTGATTTTTTCCCAACTGATGGAACTTCTTGCGCTCCTCGCGAATGTTCTTCAGCTGCTGGCGTTCGTTCTTCAGGACCTTGTAGTTTTTGGCCGGTTTCTTCAGAGGCTTGGCGCCCAGCTTCACGAGCTGGAACATTTCCATTTTGCTCTTGTTTTTGATCACCCGCTGGTTTTTCATCGCGAAGTTGAGCACCTCGTGGCGGGCTCTTTTGATGTCGAACTCGGGATTCAGTTCATTTCCGGCTTCCTTGATTTTGTGTGGCTTCTTCTCGGATGATCCTTCGTCCTGCTTTTTGGCTGCATTTTTCACAGGAGCTCGCGGTTCGTGGAAGACGAGGGCCTGGAAATCGCTGTTTTCCTGCTTCTTCTGTAGCGCCAGGGCCGCTCGCGTGGGCACCGGCTTAAAATCCTCGCTTACGTTCATTTTCCGATCGGTTGTCGCCAAAGTTCAGTAAAAAAAAAGGTAAATAATATGAAATCAAAATATTGAGGGCACATGTACAATGCGAAAATGAACTAAATATGCCAAGATCGCCTGTGCCTATCTGGCAGCCCTGGCTGGAGTTCAGTGTGTTTCTTTTCGGAAGGTGACTTTTCGATTCCCTTTATTACGTCACAAATACACATATTTAAAAAATAAAATTTATACAGTTGTGATTTATTTATTAAATTTCATTTAAATTGTTCACTCTTTTTGTTTCGTTTTATTTTCGTTGGGTGTATTTTAAGATTTAAAAAACAGTTAAATTTGAATAAACGCAAAACTTATATCTATTATTGAACATATTAAAAACACATATTAAAAACACATTTTTGAATTAAAAAATTATTTCTATTATTTATTTTATTTCATAGTATCTGACCAAAACTCTTCTGGCAGCCAGTCCATCTCCCAGCCAATTGGATCCTGATCTTCGTCGATGGAAAACTTCGGATTGGGATTGGACAGGCCATCAAAATTATTGAAGGGAGTGGCATCCAAAGGGACTGTGGCGCAGCTCATCCAACTTTGGACGCGTGTAATGGGTGGTGGAACGGGTAGAGATTGTTCAGCAAGCTTACTAGTACACCTGGAATCCTCTTTATAAGCCGTAAAATCCAGAAACTTGTCCTGATCCTCCAGTGATTGCGATTCCAAATCGTTTTCATTCCGGACCACTTCAGTTGGTAATGGGGGAATGGTTTCGTTGGACGAGCAAGAGGCCGCCACATTTACTATATAGCTAATGGGATCTTCCATCTGCAACTTAAGGGATTGCATTGAGGAGCGACTAATGGGTCGTGAAACCTGGAAGGGATTGCCCTCCCTGCGGCGCCGTGGCTCCCGGTGTTCCGACTTTCCCTTCCCAGACGTCGTAATCCTGCTTCCATTGATGATGCTCTTTAAGGACATCAGCGATACCTTCCCATGGGAGTACTTTTTGACCTGCGGAAGACAGCTGGTCCGCATTTTCTTGTTTAAAGGAGTGGTCAGGCGACCATCCACGTAGTCATTGCGCGGCTTGACGAAGATTCCTGCTAGATATTTTAGCATTTTCGGGTTACTAACAATTTTAATCGGTGCAGGCGGTTGGTTCAGAAATCAGTTATGGTCAAGATGTAAATATCAAGATATACGAAACTCATCAAATAACTATTGTAAATTGTGACTTATGATTCAAGGAAATATGATTTATCTTAATAGTTTAATAATAATAAATAATAACTAAAAGCTTGTGGTACAATTCCCCAAAAATCTGCATTAAAATCTTTGTTTATAAATTCGGGTCGATTTTAATTTCATATCTTTATGTCAGACCATAACCGACACGATTTCATTAAAACCGATTTCATCGTTGGGAAATAAAACAAAATATGTATTTCAATGGAAGACAATCAGATTTTTGTCTAAGAAATGAACTTTCTGGTCCACTGTACACTGTTTGATTTACGTGGCCGCCACCAATGTTATGTTAACAGAGCTCGAGAATCCAACATTCTGGCAACGCTGCGCGGGATTGACAAAAAAAACAATGCCCTGCCAGGAATTTCGAAGCAGCGGAAAACTGAATAAAAAAGCGATAAACTAGACTGAAGGAAAAGCGGAAAATGGCCAGGAACACGGGCAGCTCCTCGGGCTCCACGCCGGCGTCGGCAGCGGCAGCGGCGGCAGCAGCGGCTTCAAATGCCAAACAGAAACGCAATCCCGGTTTCAGTTTGTCCTCCAATCTGATCCTTGACAAGTGGAAAACGATGATTGGATGCGTGTGCCTGGCGATAGCCTCGTACTTTGGCTATCTGGGCTACCTGGAGACGCGGGTGAACACGCCCTTTGACCACCAGAAGATGGTGGTGCATGCCGGTCTGGAGCAGCCGGATCGGTATTGGGGCTCCTACAGGCCACTCAACTACTTTGGAATGAAGACGCGTGATCCACATTCGCTGGTCATGGGCCTGATGTGGTACACACCGAGTAATCTTGGGCCGGGTGGCCAGGGCATTCGGCATTGGTGCGAGCAGGGCGACAAGCTGGACTCCTACGGATGGACACATCACGATGGCCGAAGCTTTGGCGTCCAGGAGATCCAGGATCTGCCCTTCGAGCTGAAGACCTCGTTCGTGAAGTACCCGGAGGGCAAGCAGTACGGCGGCGATTGGACGGCCCGCATATCGGTGAGGAATACGACGCGCGCCTGGGACAAGAGCATCTCGCTGATCTGGTATGTGGCCCTTGATGAGCGCACCAATGGGCACATCAAGTACGTGTCGGATGACAAGAGCCCGGAGCCGGGCGTCTACGGTGAGACGCAGGGCCTGGGCGAGTTTCAGGTGCGTTTCCATGCCGTCAAGGGCAAGATCCTGCACAAATCGTACCTCAGCACGGTGGCCCCATCGCTGGCCAAGCTCAAGGACACGCTCTTCTCGCACTTTCGCGCCTTTGCCGACAAGCGGGGCAATCGCTTTATCGGCCTGCCCGGCGAGATAGTCTCCCAGAATGGTCTGCCATCCAACAATCCCGAGCCGAACTTCATAGCCATACAGATCACGGCCGAGGTGGACTTCACGCTGGACATCACATACCAGTCGACGTCTGGATTTTCCCTGGGCGAATCCATACCCAAGCCGCCGACGGGCCGTGCCTATCAGGATTCGTTGCAGGCCAAGATCGTCCAGTTCGAGCAGCGTTTCGAGGAGCGCTTCCGGCTAAAGCAGAAGGGTCACTCCCCGGAGGAGGTGAGATTCGCGCGCAACGCCTTCAGCAACACGCTCGGTGGCATTGGCTACTTCTACGGCTCCAGTCGGGTGCAATCGGTGCACACCAAGAACCCAGTGCCCTACTGGAAGGCTCCGCTCTACACGGCCGTGCCATCGCGCAGCTTCTTCCCCAGGGGCTTCCTGTGGGACGAGGGCTTCCACGGCCTGCTGATCAGCGCCTGGGATGTGGACATCGAGCTGGACATCATATGCCATTGGTTCGATCTGCTCAACGTGGAGGGCTGGATCCCGCGGGAGCAGATCCTGGGCGTGGAGGCACTGGCCAAGGTCCCCGAGGAGTTTGTCACGCAGCGCAACAGCAATGCCAATCCGCCGACCTTCTTCCTTACGCTCCGGAAGCTGCTGACCACCCATCGGGCGGAGTTGTCCCAAAACGGACGGCTGGCCACGCTGGAGCGGCTGTATCCGCGCATGCAGGCCTGGTTCAACTGGTACAACACCACGCAGAAGGGTGAGTCTCCTGCCATCCCTGTCTATATGGTGTCTTAATACTGCCCCCTCGTTCCAGGTGAGCTGCTGGGCACTTACTTGTGGCGCGGCAGGAATGCCACAACCATGCGCGAACTGAACCCCAAGAGCTTGTCCTCCGGCCTCGACGACTATCCGCGGGCCTCGCATCCCACGGACAGGGAGCGCCACCTGGACCTGCGCTGTTGGATTGCCCTGGCCGCCAGTGTGATGGCCGAGTTGTCCACTCTGCTGGGCAAAGACGATGTCAAGTACTATGAGACGGCCTCCTATTTGACGGACAACGAGCAGCTGAATCGCCTGCACTTGGCACCCTACAGCGAACAGTACTCGGATTGGGGTCTGCACACGGACCAGGTGAAACTGAAGCGTCCGCCGGCTCTGGCGCCGCAGCAGCAGCAGCGGCATCAGTACCAGCAGCAGCAACAGCAACCCGAAATGCGGCGCGTGGTTGGTGAGGTGCCCACCTATCAGTTCGTGGACAGCGCGTTTGGCTATGTCAGTCTGTTTCCGCTGCTGCTGGAGCAACTGGATCACGATTCGCCGTATCTGACCAAGCTGCTGCACGATCTTCGCGATCCCGAACAGCTGTGGACCAAATACGGCCTGCGTTCGCTCTCCAAGCGATCGCCGCTGTACATGAAGCGCAACACGGAGCACGATCCACCGTATTGGCGTGGACCCATCTGGATTAATATTAACTATCTGGCCGCCAAGGCTCTGCATCACTATGGCAAAATCGATGGGCCGAATGCCTCATTGGCGCGCCAGATTTACGCCGAACTGCGCGACAATCTGGTGGGCAACATCTTCCGGGAGTACCAGCGCAGTGGCTATTTGTGGGAGCAGTACGACGACACCACCGGCCAGGGCAAGGGCTGCAATCTCTTCTCCGGCTGGACGGCCACCGTTGTCCTCCTGATGGCCGAGCAGTTCTAGACTGCCTCTTGCCTCTCGAAGAAGAAAAAAAAATAAATAAATCTGCTGTGAGTTCCTCAACGAACATCCCTGCCCGGATTCCTGAAATGATCTAATTGTTTGTGTTTAGGATAGATGGGTTTTCTTTGACCCAATAAACGCTACACAATAATTTGCTTTGAATTTAGCAAACTGATATTTTTGTCAATTAAGAAAGGCTTTTTAATTTGTACAATGCATCTCACCCTAATGGATTTTCAATGTAAAATTTAGCTCTTACTTCTTTTAAATATGTACCAGGTGTAATGCTTTTAAAATAATGTATTTTTAGCGATTCTGTGTCATAGAAAACTCAGCTATCCTTATGTAGACTACTGTAATTGCGCGTGTACTCCTTAGAAATTCCAGTCTCTAGTTGCTGTACAATACTTAAGAAACTTTGACAAACAAACCGAGTGAAAAAATGAAGTAAATGGAAGGTCATTTTAGCGTTAAATAGACGAATTTTAAAATTATAACAAATATATACTAAAAAAAGTAACCAAAATGTGTAGTTCTTTCAATGCGATAAAGTTGAATCTAAATCCCCTTCAAAAACCTCAAACTTTTTGCAACGTTTGATTTTTATTTTAGTTTAAAGGATATTCAAAACAACTAATAATTTGAGTTTTGTTCATGTTTTATTTAATTTTTCTTTTGGCAATTCCTGTCACTTGGAATACTCCGATATTATTGCTATATTATACACAATTTCCTTAACTATATTGTACACACAATCGCACTCACTTACAGGCATGCATACACTCACAGGCAGACATATATATTTTGTCTTTTCTTTGTTAGCTTTTTGTTCTCTTTTTGCATAAAAAAGGTACAAAAATGATATATGCACGATATACTTAATGCAAAACTAATTAGATAATTGTTTAATGTGTCTAAAATTACCCTAAAGAAAAGAAAGAAAAACGAAATCAAAAATGGTCAAGGTAATATATAAAAAAAAAAAAATTAAGGTAGAGGTTTTCTTTGTTCGGTGTTTGACTCAAGTGGGGGCTGGTTAGTCTTATTTTAGGGCTAATTAAAACGTTTATACGATCTACGTGTGTATTACTTTAGCAAGTACGCGTCCGGATTTCAATGAACTTTGGGGAGTGACTGTCACAGTAACAAACAAACAAACAAACAATAAAACAAAAAAGGGAAGCCATTTGGGGCTGGGAGACATTTTTACAAAGATTATTTAAGATATAGGTAAGTATGATCTACTGAGATATATATGGCGCTGCCTATACATCATGAAGTACTTGGAACAAAGTCTTTATATGGCCAGAACCAAAGTCAATCTGTTAATCTCTCTATACTCTAAACGGAAATGGGATTAACGCTGGCAGATCTCGATCTCAATATCGATCCGGATCACTCATCCTTCTTCTTGACGCGTCTCCTGAACGACGGCAGGCGATCCAACAGGGCCAGCAAAATGCTACCGGGCAATCGCTGGTGCTGATTGATCAGATCCTCGATAGCTGTGGCCACCTAAAAAAGAGAATAAGCAAATCAATAAGTGGGGGACTCTCAAAATATAAGTTTTAATATGGAAATTTCTTAAAAAGCTAAATAAAAAAGTTAGGAAATCATACATTTAGAAGACATTTGAACGTTTTTTTGTAATTATTTTAGGAACAATTATGTGTGTTTTATGCAGCTATAAAAAAATAAGAAATTTAATAAATGTAGACTGCTTCTTATCAAAGAGCTTAATAATATATATCTATTTTCTAATTTAAAAAAAAATTGTATTTTATATAAATATATTACAGCTGGTTTAAAGTGTTTTGTCGTCATTGACAATTTTGTGAAAATAATGACAAGAAAATAGGGCAGTACAAAAAATAGCAAACAGTATTCTAATGAAAAATAAAATTAGAATTAAATTAGTAGAGTTTTTAAAGTTTATTACAAAAATATCGGTATAACACCGTACAGAGAAATGTGTTTTTAATTAAGTTTAAAACAATTTGTCAGCCAGCTAATTTAAGTGCATTTATGTATTGTTTAATGTTCATTGAACAACTGGTAATTGCTCTTACCTTAATCTGCAGATCCTGCGGCGTGAGGTTCTCGTCGTACGGAATGGGCTTGCCCAAATACGTGCGGAACTTGACCGGGAATCCGCCGTAGATGGGGTAGACCGGAATGCGCACCTTGTTGTACAGCCGCATGAAGAAGGTGCGAAAGATGCCCACCTGGCGGAAGCCCTCGCGCAGATTCTGCGTGAAGCACGGAATGATGGGGGCCTTCGCCTCGATGGCCACCTTGGCGAATCCGACGCGATTCCGCCAGAGGAGCTCGTAGTAGTGATCCCCGAACTGCGCCTCGTAGACGCCGCCCGGGGAAATGGCCAGCAGATTGCCATCACGCAGGATGCTCACGCATGATTGCACGGTGCCGGGACTGACGTGGAATGCCTCCGAAATGGTGCCCCAGCCGGGCAACTTGAACAGGAACCGATCGCCGATCGTGTATATCAAACGCTCGCGCTGCAACAACATCCTCGAGTTCAGATAGTACATGTCGATGGGTATGGCTCCGTGGTAGTAGACAATCAGCGCCGGACCCTCCTGCGGCACATTCTCCAGGCCGATCACCTCGTAGCCATGGTAAATCCGGGCATGGGCATCCCAGATGGCCGCCACAATCTTCCGACCAACCCGCCAGAAGTTGCGATCCCCTTGCACAGCTCGCATTATGACCTGCCTGGAAATGATATTATAATATTATATTTTATTTATTTTAGAAAATAAATAATAAATAATAAATAAATATGATCATTTTCTACACATCAAACCTTAAGAGGTTTTTGTTTTACAATTTATTTTATTAAGATTTCGAATAGCCATAAACATACAATCATCAGATATTGATAAAGTTCAGAAAAATGATGATTCTATGATTTTGGACCTGAACCAAAGTTAAAATTTAAGTTTAAAAAGTTCATTCAGGTTTGGCTTTGCTCCCTAAATTAATTGGCAACAACAATAAGAGAACTGGCAGGCGCCCACTGATAATTATGTTTAAATTTAGTTGGCTGTCCGCAGGTGTTATCAGCATAAATTGGTCGTGTCTCCCCATGCATATCAAATAACTTATAAATCAATATACACACAAGCAAGAAATGTCGCCTCACCTTGGCAAAACTGCGTTTAGTGGCAACTGATAACAGGGTTCATTCACAAATCTTCTGGCCCCTTGGCGACCAAAACAAAGTGGGACAGTAATGAAAAAAAAAGAATCCCCTAGTTTCCATTTAATATATTCTGGAACAGAAGTGACCAACATTTTAGATCAAGCCGAAATTACAAATAATTCTTATAAAATATCATATTAATATCCCTCGGTAACACCAAGATCTGAAAAATATTTTCCATATTTATTTTAACGTTATCCATTAAAGTTAACATTAGTTTTAAAGTATGTATAAAAAAATATGTATTTAAAAATTAAAGTTCTCGTTAAAAGTTATTATATTTGCCGGTTAAATTATGTATTTAAACATTTATCTAAACCTGATAATAAAATCCACAATCAAATAATTGCTTTAATACAAATGCTGATCCGAAAAAATGATTTCCATTTACTTAACTAAACTGATCTTTTGCTTTTATAACAAAAAGTAATTAAGTTGTTAAAAGTACTCAAACCAGATCTATTACTTTCCACTGACATTTCCGATCGTCAAGGTCGCTATGCAATTTGTAACTCTAAAGATTATAAGATAATTATCAGTCGATTAACACGGCAGTGCTACATTTTAAATTCATAAAAAGAACATCGTTTATGCATCGTCAAGCTTTTATATTTATAGGTTGTTCCACTGCAGCGCAGTCGTTCGTTTGCCAATAAAAAAATAGATGTAAAAATATAAATGGGGAATGAGGGGGATCAGATTGCGGTAGTACAGTTAATTGCATTCGAAGCCAATCCCCCCCTCCACCCCTTGCGGTTCTTTGATGGACTTATAATTCCTGCGATTACGCGCGATAGCATTTGGGGGCGGAGGGGGGACTTTGGGGGCGGGGTCCTCAATGACCATGAACTGATAGGCATTAGTGAAGTAAAGCGAATGACGCTATAGAAACAACAATATCGGGCAGAAGAAGGAATGTTTCATGGCGTGTTTTGGTTTGTGAATTTTTCAGTTCACTTCCACTGCTTATCGAACTGTTTCAATTGAACTACAGTATTTATTGCTTATATGAAACGTATATGTATTTCACTGTCATACCATATATTAAAATCTCAAATATGTGCATGCAAATGTTTTGAGACATTGTTGCCGTACTAAATATAGCCTTTTTATTGAGTTTTCTTCTAAACACAAAACAAATAAATGCTTATATGTAGCTGATTTTGCATATAAACTTTACAAACTGTGAAAATTCACATTGGAGGTTAAAAAAGTTACTACCAATTTTACATTTTTCCCCTACATAACTTTTATATTTATTATTTGTGTTATAATATAATATTTCTTATATAAACCTTCATTTCCTTGTTCTAAAAAAAAAAAATTCTTAACAATAAAATGTTATCTTGTCTAGGCCACGAATTACCGTTCGACTATCATATTGTGTAAACATTCATAAAATGATAGGCAAACAGCAGACTAAACCACGGGTGCGATTAAATATAAAACCTCGTTATCAAAAGTTAAAATAATTTCTGTTAATCCTCTCATATTGCGATGCAACATTCTGATCGATAAAACCTTTTGTTTGTTTGCAACCTGTAAACTGCAGACATCGTTAGCCATTATAGTTAAAGCCATTAGGGCTAGTGGTGGTTGTAGCTAAAAAGCTTTTCAGTTAATTAGCATGACCAACCGGTTGAGCATTAGAGAGTTAGAAATAGAAAATAAATAAAAGCACGCCACCACAGGCGCGCCGGTATATACAAATAGGGTAAAAGTTGGCAGTGCCGATCACCTGCTTAACAGCTTTTTGTATTGGTGCAATGGTCAAGAGTGTATTGTTCTTCAAGGGTCAGTTCTACCAGTGTCGGCCAACTTGGTTGTTTATCAGCCAGTTTTTTATTGAGCAGTATATGCTCGAAAAACATTTTCCTAAGCTAATTTATTATTATTTTTTTCGATACAATTATTTTAACTCATAATTACTTTTTTGATGCCTAACTTAATGGTGCTCATTATTTCAAGCATTGACTTGATTTGCAAATAAAATAATTTAAAGCTGAGCACTGCGTAAAAATCCTATACACAAGGGAAAACTGATATGGTATGATATATTTTGATGACTTTTCAGAATTTCACTTTTATAATCAAATTTCAATAAACTCTTGTACGAATAAAAAAAACTCAAATTTGCAATCTATTGTGCGCTGTACTAATACGTTCGTTAAAATAAAATAATATCTTTGAAATAATAATTTTGTGGATCACTTGTTTTTCTTATTATAACAGTGGGCTCCCCAGGTATTTTTTTTTGTTATTTTTATCGTTTTTATCCAATATGCACTGTACTT